TAATTAATAAGTAATTTATTAATAAAAAATTAAAGTCTATTTTTAAAAGCATTTCAATTTTGTTAATTTGCTTCTCATGTTCAGAGAGTTTTAAGAGATAAGCTATTCAATGGGAAGCATGACAAGGGTGCTTTAACTGAGTGCAAATTACTTAAATAAGATGATGCATATTTCTCAACTCTTCATAGTATTGCCTTGATAGTAAGTATTATCCAGAAAAAAAAAAAAAACTGGGGGTAAAAATGATGAAGAAGATTTTTAAAGACGTTTAAGATGAAAGATAATACTGAACAGTCATTTATCTGGTATAGCTTTGAAAATAAACTTTTGCCTAAAGACTAAGACATTTCCATTCCTCAAAATCCTCTTTACATTAAGAATCCTTATGTTAATCCTAATGTTAAGAATGGGAATATTATTTTAAAAGAAAGTTACATTAAAAATATAATTGCTAAACTTATTTTACTACATGATCACCCCTGATAATTAAAAATTATAAGTTCTGTCAGAAAAAAAATAAGACTTGTCTTACATTTTATAGCTTTAACAGCTAAAAGCCCTCTCTGAGGCTCGGAGCCCTGGTATCCATAGCACTCGGAGAAGCTGCTACCAATTAATCAGAATTGATTATAAGAGATGAATCTCATTTGCTATCTCTGCATTGAGAGAACTCATTTCAGGGTTTTCAGAGTCTGATGTATTTATGGTTTCCTTTCCAACCTATTTTTTAATGTATTATTTCTATAGTCAAACTAAAATTTAATTACCAAACCAGATAATTGCTGTAGATAAATATTCTGAGGGACATCAGTATCCAGCCAGGCATACAACCTGTTTGGTTGTTTTTCCTCACCAAGATTTACCTGGTGTTTTATCAGTCCCGCTTTAAAAATCTTGGTTTTGAATCAGAAGCTTTTCTCAGCTGTCTGCCCTTCACCTTTGAGTTTACTCAACATCAAAGTGCTGTAGGCCATTCATTTGGCGGTGGCCAGCAACCGTTTCTATTTTGCAGACCATGCCTAGGCCACAGAATTCATCACAAGGAAGGCATTACATTGCCTTTTTAAACTTCATTCCTCTAAGAGATAAGGGCACTGTTCTTTACATGAAGAAGACAAACCATAATTTGTGTCTTTTTCTACAAAAAGCAAAAAGGTTTTTTCTTTCCCTCTCTCTCTCTCCCAACCAAAGCCACTTACCGAAACTATTTTGTTAAACGTCTTGATTTTCCATATAATGATCACATGTTTTTGTTTTCTCCTGTTGTTCTTTTCTTAAATGTCAGTTGGAAAGTGGTTGCAAACCATTGTTAATTGGTGATCAATAAACTTAGTCTCATGAACGTTGCAGTTGAAAAGGGCTTTAGATGTCATCCTGTCTGAGCATGCCAAATGTATTTCTCTAACTAAAGAGAGATCATAGCATTACTTCCTACTTGGATATGGCCTCAGCATTCTACTTAACCCAGAATTCCTGACAGATACTACCAATCAGAGTTGGCATGCACTTGCTCTCCTGGAGAGTTCAGTCCTTCATTTTATAGACAACAAAACTGAATCCAGAGAGACAAAACGAAGGTTCAAGCCTACAAGAATAGTAAGGGGAAAAGCCAGTGACTTGAACCCACGAAGTCACGTACTTTGTTGATTTGAAAACATAAGGTAATACATTTGGTGGCTGTACATTATATTATTATGACTCGCTACGGCAAGCTAATTATGCTGCATAACACCTTCACTTTCTTAATTGTCTCTCTTGTTTGATGGCAAACCAGAATTTGACCAGATAATCCAAGTTCATTCTTTATTTTGTGAAGTTATCGTAATAACACCACACAATTGGAAGAAGTGCTTTGGCAATCACAATTTCAAGAAAGAAACAAACCTAAAGATTCTTTTGTTTAAAGAAAGAAACAAACCTGAAGTTTAAAAGGAGACATTTCAGCCATCATAACCAGAGCCTAGAAGGAGAAACTCATCTCCCTGATAGATGGTCCTTTGAAGTCTTGGAACTTTGTGATTCTTCGTCCTGACTTTGCCACCCTTCAGAGGCAAAGAAGAACATGTATTTTCAGTCCTAGGAGCACTTCATGTTCCTCTCCAACCACACAGAAAAAGAAGGCATCTAGAGAGATATTTCTATCTTCATGCCTTGCCCATTCCTTGACTGTCAGTGAGCTAAGGAGGAGCTCCTCTAAGATGGCAGAAGAAAAGTCTAACAAATTATTCAGAGTACATAGTACTTCATTCCCAAGAAGGTCAAATTCAAGTTTAACATTTAAGTGGAAAATAAATAGGAAATCAGTACATGATTATTTTGACTTGCTCTTAGGAGGAAGTTTATTTTTTGTTTCTTAAGAAAAAAAGCAATGAAAGTCTGTCAGTAACCCATTTTGGAAAATGAGTTGTCTTAAGTAAGAAAGGAGAATTTAAAAATATTTATCTAAGTGAAGTATATAAGTTAGTAATATGAAGGCTTATTCCTTTTTTATTTACATTATTCTGGGGTAAATTTTAAGTTTGTCTAACTCTACCCTAGGAAAAAGAAAAGGGAATCCATATTTAGAGGGCTCTTTATGATTTTTTTTAAGCCTTGAATGTATATCAAGGTAGAATGATGCCAAATGTGTTGCTCTGGACTCTAATTCCTCAAAATCCTATTTACGGAAGAGACACCATCCCACTGCTAAAATTTAGAACTGAACATTATTTTAAAAGAAAGTTATACAAAAAATACAATCACTAAACTTATTTTACTATATAAATGCTCTTATAATCTTTTGTGCTCTCTTGAAATTGTCAAAAAGAGATGCTTGGGAATCATGGTCAAGAACATCTCAAAGAACATTTGATATCTGCAGTAACACTTAAAATGGCCTTGCTACATCAGCAACTGGAAATAATTCTCTTTATACAATTAATGAAATGTATTATTCTCTCTATATTCTCTGTATATAGAACTACAATGATAGGATTTAAATTGGATGAGGAGACCAAGAAGGGAGAAGAAGCTAAAGATGAGTTCAAAGAAACTGAGGATGTGGTACCTCAGTAGATTCAAGATATATTGATCACTTCTATTTTGAGAACTATGGTCATCACTCAGGTTCCAAGGAGAAAAATCAAATTGGGGTCCAATGGGAGCATGAAGTTTAAAAGAAGAAGAGACAAGTATCTCTTGAAGATTCTGGAGAAGGCTGTATGCAAAGGTCTTGGAATAGTACATTTCACTAAGAAAGCACCAGAGTAGATGACTCAACAGCGTTTAAGAGCTTCTTATAGAACACCTTTTTAGCAAATCAAATAGGAAACAGAGGAACATATTCAAAGATGACAGGAGTTCTAGAGATCAAAGTTAAAGAGAAGGAACTGAAGAAAAAAAAAGGGATGACTGTAAATTTAGTGCAGAATGGTATGAAGTCCAAAGGGAAAGTTTTTGGTGATCTCGTATGGGGCACCAGGAAATCAGGGTGGGTCCCAAATCCTCAGGAGATGACAGAGCATTATAACATTGCAGATGGCAACCTTGAGGGCCACCTGGGGCCATAACTAGGAGGATTAGAACACAGGCAGAGTGGATGTGTCTAAGAAGCTGAGGGCCCTCAGCTTGATTAAGGAACCCGCCAGACACAGGTGGTCGTCAGGGGTAATTCCCTTGAAGAAACCAGGGAGAATCCCTTGAGAATATCTAAGGAGGGTGTGGGGAAAGGACTATGAGATGATGGGTTCAGGACCTAAAATAAATGCATTTAGTGCTTTTTAAAATAAATTTTCGTGATCCTCTCATGGGAAGTTATTGTTATAAAACTCTATGTTTTCTTATAGATATTAGCAATAAAAATTCCTTAGAAATGCAAAGTTGTTTGCAGGTTTGTTTCAAAAACAGCAGAGTAGAGGAGAATTGGAAGCCTCTGTCCTATTGTGAAACAGACCTGGAAATGGGTGATTCCACCTAAGGAATCATCTGGTATGAGCTGGAAAAAGCTAGTGATTCCCAACTTTAGGGCTGTATGAAGACAACGAGGTAAGCCAGGAATCACTCCTACAAGGTACCCAGGATTTGTTACATGGCGGTAAAGCTATTTTCTCACCCAAAATGACTGTTCTTTTAAAAACATTTTTAAATTGTTGTTATTTTCACAGACACTTTGGTTGCCCCAAAGTTATGGAAACCAGGCTACATATCAACATGCAAGACCACATATAGCCAAAATTTTGTGTGTGGGGGTGGTGGGGGCTGGGGCAAGGGGTGGTGGGCAGAGAGATCTTAAAGGCAAATAATCAAGAAATATTAACTAAAAGCTCATGACGAAAACTGACATTTTGAAAACTACTAATTTTTTGGTTATTAAGTAAGTCTTTTTCTCCCTGATGAAATGCATTATTTCAAAGGTCCTGGCATATTGCTAATGGACACATTTATGATAGGGAAGAAAAAATTTAGAAAAAATAATCAATCATCCAAGGGTCAGGTCACCTTTCCAATAGAAAATAAGTGCCATCTAATTATTTAATAGCAAAACATATCAATTTGGTTTTGCAACTAAACAATCGGTCAGGAAATCATCCACAATTAGCCAAAATATTTTATGACCATTTTTCTAAGGTTGTATAAATACTGTTTTTAAAATGATTTATGTTAAGCATGATTCTTAATGTTTTTCAATGTTATAAATAAATTGTTATAATGACCACACTGGAACAATTTTTATAAGTGGCAAGCTAGTGACTGGATAAGGGTCACAATAGGTTAAAAACAGGAATTATTTTTAGTTAAAAAAAGGCAAAACTATGGCAAAGGAAAAAAACTTAGAAAATAATGGATTAAGAACATAAAGGATCAGAAGTTTTAGAAGATTAGAAAAACAAAACTGGAGTTTTTCAGACTGACTTATCAAAAAAAAAAAAAATCCACACATGACTAAAAAAGCAAAAGGAACACTGGAAGCGGACATTTAATTGACTCCCCAAAGGAGATTTAGATTTACCACCTAAACTCACCATCTTTCTTCCCACCAGTCATTTTTCTGCTGATAATAAAACTGTTGGCCTGTTTGGTCTTCCAGTTAACTGTTCCATTTATGCCATCAGCACAGCTTAATAAAAAGGCTTTTCAGAATAAAACAAATGCACAAAAAATGAAATTAATGTCAAATTAAAATGACTATTCCAGGTCACCTATTAACGGAGATTAGATTCCTTCTAGCCCAACTAGCTGTTTAATTCCACTTAATAAATATTTGTTGCATGTCAGTACAAATGTGGGGATACAGGGTAAACAAGACACAGGAACTACACCCCAACAAGTTTACAATCTATAAGGATTGATAATTCATGTACCCAAATATGTATGAAATATATATATATACATATACATACATAATAATTACACATACACACAGTGGTAGAAAACATAAGCACTACAAAACCCTGAGGGGGGAAGCCATTATCCCTGGCTAGGGATGTTGTCATAAGTTTAAGTATCATTTAAATTTCACAGTTGAGTTTTGGAAACATTACATTGGCAGAAATGAACATAATTGGGGTTGGGGGCTAATAAGTAGGGAGTTATCTCTGGAACGTAGGGTAGTAGTCAGCCCATAAATTGAAAATAAAGGTGGGGCTAGTTATATGACATCATGGAGATAATACTGACAAAGTTTTCAAATTGCTGCATGTGGGTTAAAAAAGGGGAATCAGATGACTTTGAAGATTTGATCCAGAGTGACACAGAACAGTGATACATTAGGAATCCCCCCAAAAAAGGAGTCAGTTTCAGGAGAAAGATGATAAATTTCAGCCATATTAAATTAGGGGTACCACATGGATATCCAGGTGAAACCAACTAAGAGGAAGATGGAAATAGAACTCTGGTACATAAGAGAACTTACTGGGGCTTCAGATACAGATTTGGACATCCATCCCCAGAGGAATGATGGTTGAAGCCAAACCCTAGTACAATTCTTTAAACAGACCATGCTCCCAGGTAACATGTACTAGGCACTCTCATATCCAAAGTGATCGGAGAAGATACACTTTCATGTTCTTGAGTCATTCATCTACCCTATTTCCCATCAACCAAACTACCACTCTTATGGCTTACTGCCCTATTTTTTATTCTTACCTGTCAGACATGGGATTTGGGTACCGTTTTCCTAACTATAACATTGGGTCTCCATCTCATTCTCCCTTCCTCTAGCCATCTCAGGTATGTCCCCTCTGGGTTCAGCTCAGTGCCAGAATCCCCCAGGATATACCCCACAGTTTGGCCCTAGCTTCTGGAGCTGAAATATAGCAACAAGGAACACACACACAAAAAAGTGGGAGGGACAGCAAAGGCAGAAGAACACGTTAGTAAATACATTTATATAGCAAGCACAGAGGATGATTCAGCAAAGAAATCAGAGACAAGGCAGTCAGAGAGGTTGGACAACCGAGCCTGAAGTGTCACATATGTCAACAGAAGAGATATCAAGGAGGGTGGAATCCACACCCTCACATAAAGGTCAAAGAGAATAAGAGTTTAGAAAAGACTGCTAGATGTGTAAAGTGAGAAGTTACTGGTGACTCCTTGAAAGTAGAGTTCCAACAAAGGGATAAGAATAGAAGCCAAACTGCAAAAGGTCAAGATGTAGATGTAGCAAATACAGTTAATCTTTCAAGAACATTGGCCAGGATAGGGGAGCAAAGAGATGAAATGACAGGCTAGATAGACTGAGATGCAGCAAGAGGCAGAGAGGGCTGGTTATGTGAACGTGGGGAAAGAGATTTTGTTCAGAAGCTGAGGAAAAGACAAGAGAGAAACAGATGGAGGATAAAGAAAGGAGCAAAACCGATGAGATGCAATGCAAGAGAAACCAGAATGGGTGAGACCAGCATACACAAGCAAAGAAAATACCTCATGATTCAGAAAGTAAGGACAAGTGAAGACAAACACTGGTAGGGGCACAGGAAACTTCGTGTTGAAAGGGCTCCTCACCTTAGTAAATCAGAGATGAAATGTATATTCTTTTTTAAACTGAATTTTGAAGAAAATTCTGAGCTTAAACAAAATTAGGAGAAATTTCAAGTTCCCTTCCAAAATAAAAAAAAAGAATACAATTCAAAACCCAAGTTATTAAAAACGAACAAACAAGCAAACAAAACCTCAGGTGATCATTTCAGTGATAACCCGCGAGTGGAAATCAAAGGCTCTAGCATCCCAAGCACATAAATGACTTGGTTGGTGTGTAATTTTTTAAAATATGTAAACTTAAGTGTACTAATTTTATATATACTACAAGATCAATCTTCTGGATGATTCACCTAATAAATGGTTGATTTGCTTAACAACTGAAATTAGGTCCTTTTAAATCTAGATGAAAAATACTGTCATCACTTCCTAAATAATTTACGCTAAAATAGGATGAAAAATGTTCACAGTAGTCTGTTGTGGCAAAATACCCCACTCCCTGTGTTCTCCTGATCACTGGGTTCCAAAGGTAACACACAAGAATCACTTGGGTAGCTCTCTAAAAATACATATTCACACCCTCAAAAATTCATCACAAAAAAAATTTTAAAAACACATATTCACGACTCCACTGTGGAGAGTTTAGGTTACACAATTTCATCAGGCAATTCTCATATACAAATATGAACTCTAGAAGACTGAGAAGATAACTACAGAACCCAAGGGTAGATAGGATGTTCAAATGAGTCATAGCATATGTGCCAAATGTAGGCTGACCTGAGAGCTGAAATACTCTCCCATGGATTGGGGAGTTATCATAAAGAAAGAATGGTTTGAGTATCCAGACAGCACCCCTTTTATTCCTTCCTTTATTCTAGCCTATTGGTTCTCAGACTATGTATGCATAAGAATCGGTATTCGGAGTTATACACACAAAACTACACATATTGTACTTTATGGGTGATTTAAAGAATTCACTAGGACAACAAGTCCGTGAGATATTTTTGTCTTACACTCTGTCACGTCCTTGCCAGGTGAGCCAGCGTATCATTGCTCATAATTTCCAGGTCCTATGTAAGGGTAGACCAGTTGGTTTTTACAGGATTCAAAAGACAAATGTGATTGGTTTCCCAATCATTAAAAAATGGAAGAAGCGTAAGATATCCCACCGATATTGCTCTATTTTAAGGCCAGCATGGCTTTGAGCATATTCATTTTTTAAAAAGTTCATAGTGATCCATCTAAAGTTCTCCTCTGACCACAGAAGACTGCAGTCCAATAAATCTAAAAAAAAAAAAAAAAAAAGACAACTTTTTTATGACTCTACTCACCAGACAATGTCACTAAAGGCAAGACACAACATCATGGATGGTGTGTCTGCTTAAACATTCAAGTCCCACACCTCAGGGGGAGAAATCTCAGTAACATGGAAATAACTGTTTGTTTTTAATTGTGTGTCCAAGATCGTGGATCCACTCGACTAGCTTCTTGTATAGAAAATTACTATAATCCGTGCAATGACAAATGTAGATACTCACCGAAAAACATTATGATTTCAAAGTTTGATTTTTGTTAGAAAAGGACCAGAGCATTTCTTTTTCTGTGAGAACAAATTTCCTTAGTTAGCATGGGAAAATATAACTCAATTTAAAAAATATTTGCTCTATACATAACTTTTCAAGATTAAATATAATGTGCAAAAAAATTTTAATGTGTATAGACTGGTTCTTGGACTCTTTCCAAAGATAACAGACCATCCTCAGAAATCTTGAAAGAAATTCCACTGTGCTCACTGAGTTCATGATAATCTCTGCTACAATTGTACCTGGATGTGAGTTTTGCTCTAATTCATAAACACAAAAGCAAGGAATAACATACATACTGTGCTTACACAGCCCCAAATAAGAAGACATTCACACCATTAACTGGCATATACAATTTAACCAATTCCTCAACGCTCCCTCTCAGAAATCATCAAAGCCTGAATTAATCCAAACGTGGCTGGCATGTCCTTAAAATTCCCTCGAAACCATACAATGCTTAAAGTTTGTCTTAAGATCCCACGATTTATTCTGAGTCTTGTAGCAGCATGACTGACGACATTTCATCTGGCCTGGGGCGAGCACGCTCTGAAGAGACATTACTCTTTCCCAAACCTCAATAATTTGCAGACTTGGGGAGGAGGGGTTTGTTATTTAATAAAAACAACTGAAGAGCTGTGAATGGTGACTGACTGCTGATGAGCTAATCAGAATGTCAAGGGAAAGAAATAATAAATAGTAACTTACTCCGACACCACTGTCCAACAGCAGGAAATGCCAAATGAAATTTAATCTGATTAACGCATTCACCTTAGAACCGAACTGTCACGTCTTTCTCTGTCCACTGTCTCATCTGTCTCTTTTCATATTTCACTTGAACGGGACACAGACTTTGTTTTCACAAAGTGGATATATAGCTCACGTCCCCTACATCTTCTCTTCCCTTCCTTTCTGCAACCATCCTTAATACTTTTTCAATTGTCCCTTATATTAAGATATCTTCATATTTTTCTCTCGAAACAATGGTCTTTGACATTATTGTTAGCTACCATGTTTTGAATGCTAAGTGTGAGGCACTACACTCAGGGTTTTATACATATTAACTGATTTAATCCTTACATTATCGTCTATGTGGAGTAGGTATTATTAGTTCCATTCTGCCATGAGGACAAGAAGTCTTGGGAAATTATGAAACTTAGCCCAGGTCATGTGTTTACTAAGTGGCAGAGTTGGGTTCTGAACCCATTTCTTGGCTTACTGCAAAGTCCATGTCATCTACTCATCAATACTAACCCCAAATGGTTAAATGGGAAAGCTACGTATAAACTACGTATTTTTAAACGTAATTTGAAGTACTGTTATTACTAGTAGGTCATCTTCGACTTATTTTTCTTTCTAGAAAAAGTAAGTTTCCCCTGACTGTAGATTAGAAATAGCTGGAATGAGGCAATGCCCATAAAAATTAATTCCATGCATTATGTGCATGAATACACACACACACACACACACACACACTTCATTAAAACAGGAAATCTAGAAAGTTGGAAACTATGGGGGGAGAAAGCTTTGCTGAGGAGGACTGTCCACTCCAACCTCAGGAAAAGCTATTGCTAAGA